TCTACTGGACTAGTTAGCTAGCTGACATCTCACGAGAGCCAGCCCAAAAGGCAGTACCTCTCCACACCCCTCCGCACAAGACAAAAGGTGACTGTAACCCTCGAGCCCCCTACTGATAGCGTGTCGACATCATATTAAATGCTTGACATGCACCATCATTTCTCTGTCTCCAGCACTACTTATGGCACATCGGACCACATTGGCTCTGCATGCCACCTATCCGATCTCATTAAATGCCAAAGTGACTACGTCCTCTTGGTAGCTGACACCTGTAAAGTCGAAGCTAACTCAGCCGCCAGCCCTGACTCAGCCGAAGAGACCAAAATTTCCCACCTTTATTGCCATAAAAGGAGAAACTATTCTCAACACAAGGGTAAGTAATTTCTCTGCATTTTCTCCATTCCACTGCACTCAAGAACTGCTATAGTTCACCATTTTCCCCCACTCAAGTACCTTGCTAACTTGATCATTGGAGGAACAACAGAAAATCAGACCCTGCCCTCTTACGAGTTACTACACGTGTACGAAAGAACAGTTCAACTCCAAACTAGATATTTGGAGAAGTTAGCGGCCCTTATCAACCCTGTTCCTATCAGTTTAACTGTGATTACATAACATCAACACACACACACACACACACACACACACACACACACATATATATATATATATATATATATATGAGATATGACTTTTTGAACAAACCAATACATCCACCACCCGTGCATATGTTTACCTGCAAATTATATGACAAATTAATCATGAGATATGACTTTGTGCTATCAAGTTTCATAAACTTATATAGGGTTAAAACTGAATATCAACGAAAATGGTACCTTTGCAAGTTAACTTTACAACTAGTTCTATAATGCCCGAGTTCACCACATCTGCTACATATGTGTTTCTTCCTTTCTTTCTTTTCTTGTGCCTGTTCTAAACCTGACTGGATTCTAGTAGCATTGCGTGGACGACCTTTAGTCCTTGCAGGTCTATCAGGATCACGAACTGTTATCTGAGGAATGTTCTCTATTGTATGTGAAATGGGTGCGGAAGGTTGAGGAATATCCATAATTTGATCTTGAGTTTCTCCAACTTCTTCTTCAAGTGATTCCATGAAATTTGTTAGCACATCATCAAGTTGTTGCAGCTTCTCTTCTGAATCAAATGCAAGCTCGAGCACATTATTGAATTTTGCTCTTAAAGCCCAAGATTTCAATAAATTAATCTTCTCTTCACAGCTGGTGATGTTTCTTCCAAATACAATATTGCCAACCCCAATGTTACGATGCCTTGCATGTATGGTCCAACGGTGTAGGATGTAGTGGTCGGGTAATGAATCCATTTGCCTAGCCATCATTAGCGATAATATATGTCTACATACAACACCATTAGTTTCAAACAAAGCACAAGTGCAACAGAACTGGATCTGACTGGATTGTTCATAAGTAACCACCTCCTATTTTCCTCTATCTGTAAACTTACAGACCTTGTATTCAACAATGTCCCCATCTTTTCTCAATTCTTCACAGAACTCTGTACCAAATCCTTTGAATTCAGTATGGAACACATCAAACATATTGCGTGTATACATTTCTCCAGCTTGGACCTTAATTGGATGTCCAAGGAGCATGACCGGCTTTGTGTTCAGACTTTTAAAATCTTCATGGGCTTCACTTAAGCGATGAGTTACTGCTTTTTCATATTGTGTCACAAACTCGTGTAACTGAGTCTGTGAGTTAACATACCCATCAAAAAATGCATTAATACGTTCACTCCTTTGGCTCGATCTCATTCCAGCAAAAAAAGTGTCCTTCAGATAACACGGCACCCAGTGTTCTCTGCATTTGTGAACTGTTTGCAACCATCCCTCCCCTTCTTCATTTATATCAAACTTCTCTTTCATCTCAACCCAATATCCTTCACATTGTTCAATTGAAGAACCATTGCACCACAAGCCCCAATACCTTTGAAACTGTTCACCATAACGAGATACCAAAGTAGGCAAATGATCAATAATATGCTTTTGCATGTGCCAATAGCAATAACGATGTCTTGTCGTTGGAAACACTGAGTGAATAGCATTACACATTGCTCTATCCTGATCTGTTATAATAGCACCTGGTTCAATGCCGTGCATGCATTTCAGCCATTCTTCAAATAACCAAACAAAGGTATCTTCCTGTTCATCGGCTAATAATGCACAACCAAGTAAAGTGGACTGCCTATGGTGATTTACACCAGTAAATGGAGCAAATGGAAGACCAAACTTATTAGTTCTGTATGTCACATCAAACACAATAACATCACTGAATTGCAAATAAGATGCTCTTGATCTTCCGTCGGCCCAGAATACACTCCTCATTTGTCCACTACTGTCTACTTCTATTGCAAAATAAAATTCTGGATCATTCGCTGTCATACTCTGAAAATGTCGAATGATAGATATGCATTCATGACCAATATTGTTGACTCTTTGGGTTCTGATATGATCAATGCACTGTTGTGATGTCACAAGTTCACCGTCTCTTCCATTGGTTGCATTGATAACGCGAGAAATAGTGGAAGGAGGCATACCTTCTTCTCGCAGACTATCAATAAGTTTTTTACATCTTTGAGTTTTATGAAATTGTTGATGTGATCTGTGTATTTTTGCTTTGTCTGGACTACTCAACACATGATTTGTATGTTCTTCAACAAACCCCGTGACCTCCCACGATTTGTCCTCCAATAATTTAACTCGCATCATTGCCTTACATCCCACTCGGGTCTCTCGCCGAAGAGGGATCTCTATCTTGCCACTATTAGGTTTATAGCCCTCCTTATCACAAACAAACTTTCTGTCTACCACTTCTCTAGTCTTGCGAGAGTAATTCACACTGCTCTTCCTTATTCCAAAACCCATCAACAATGCATAAGAGTTATAATAGTTATAAGCTTCTTCATGACTATTAAACTTCATTCCTAGTAGTGGTTTAGGAGCATTTACAGAATTGGCCGCAGTTTCAATTCCAATAACACTTGATTCTCCCATTCCGAACTCTACACTATTTGAATTTGTTTCCTCCATTCCAAACTCCTAAAGAAGAAAAAAACATTAATAATGACCTCGTCAATTATTTGGGAACAAAAAAAAACATACACAAAAAAAAATAGTTCAGTGGCTACATAGATAAGTGCACCCTTATAATACAGAGGGTGTAGCTGCAATTGACCGTAGCTTATTTATGCATGTACGTAGCTAGCTAGGATGTGTTGCCAACAAAAGGGAGGGGGACCTAATTCTTTTGTTTTTGTGTAATGTTGGTGATGTTATCCTCTTCACCAACATGGAATGACTCTATGAATTTCACTGCTTCCATGACTTCATAAAATTTACAAAATTAGCATATACTTTATGAATTTCACTGTAGGATCAATAAAACTCAAGTTCATAAAACTCAAAGATCACATCTAACAATGCACAGATCACAAATCCCAGTTAAAATTTTAATCACATCAACACTTAGCAAAAATGCTTTGTCTGGACAACATCAACAATGCATTCATACAACACAATACAATCTGTATATAGGATTTTTTGTTAAATTTAACAGTAAATGTTAGAATTTGCCGAACATTACAGTAATAGAAAGGAGGGCGGTTGAGAGAGGAGAATTTAAAATTTTACCTGTCAAGAGAGATCGAAAGGGGGAGTCGGGGTTGGCCTCACGAGACGAAACGAGCGGCGGTGGTCGCTGATTTCTCACCGAGGCGGCGGCGGTCGGTTGGCCTGAGCGAAATCGATTGAGAGCTCAAGAGAGATCGAGAAGGGGGTCGGGGTTGGCCTCACGAGACGGAACGCGAGCGGCGCGGGCGGTCGCCGATTTCTCACGGCGAGCGGCGTCGGTGCGGTTTGCGCCTGAGCGAACGACAGGGCGAGAGGCGTGAGGAGAGGGAGGATTTGGTGGAGAGATCTGATGCTGTATTCGAAAGGGGCGGGTTTTCTGGGCGAGCTGGGTTTGACAGCTGGGTTAACTACAGAGATCAAAAGGTGAGGTTTTTTTCAATAACCCCTGCAGGCACCAAAATCCTACGCTGGCAGCTCTTATGGCCAGTTTTCTTCTCATATTATATATATATATAATATATATATATATATATATATATATATATAATATATTAGGAGAGAAGAGGAGAGAGAGAGAGAGAAGAGAGAGAGAGCGAATATGGGTATACTTTGGCCAAGGATCCTGGTAGTGATGTGGGCACATCTTGTCCATACATCACACCTTGAATTGGTGAGGCTCCATCTTCAAGGTGTGATGTATGGACAAGATGTGTCCACATCACTACAAAGGATCCTTGTACCAAGTATACCCATTTCTTCCATATATATATATATATATTATATATATATATATATTATATATATATATATATATATATATAATATAATATTTAAAATTGCAACATAAAAATCATAATCAAACAAAATCAGCACGACGAGACAAAACCACAAAGGCCTCTTCCGTACAATTCATCCCCAATTCCTGGGTGATGAACTGTGCCCATCCAACGGCCAGGATTCCTCCAACTCCCTCTTCCTCCGCCTTTTTGACCGCACATGTGTCGCAATCTCGGTGGTCGATGACACGGTAAAACCTCACACAGTTTTCTCTCTCTAAAACCTCCTATATTGTCTCATTTCTCCTCTGTTTTTGCTCAAATTTTCCCATTTTTTTCTGAATAAAAATTTTGGGAAAAAAAATGACGGACACAACTGATGACATTGCTGAAGAGATCTCGTTTCAGTCGTTTGAGGATGACTGTAGATTGTTAGGGAGTCTTTTGAATGATGTGCTCAACAGAGAAGTTGGGCCTCAGTTCATGGAGAATGTTGAGAGGAAAAGGATACTCTCTCAGGTCGTTTTTTTAATTTTTTTACTTGATTTTTGGTGGGTTTTTAATTTGTTTTAATGGGTTGTGTTGGGTTTATGGGGATGTTCGCTTTTTGTTTTTTTTTGCATGTATCTTTTTTGAGAGGAAAATGATTATTTGTTGATTTTTCATATATATTATTTTACAACACTGTTGGTTTTTTTTTTTAATTTAGTTTTGATGGGTCATGTTGGGTTTAGGTAATATTTTCTTCTTCTTATTATTATTTTTGGTAGTGATGTCCATTTTTCTGCATACAGCTTCTAATATAATAGCTTTATTTTTGTATTTAATTTGATGGGCTCGCTTTATTTACGTGATTTTGTATTTTTATGATTTTTTTTGTTTTTGTTAGTGCTTTTATTTTTTGGTTATACTTTAGTTGAGTACTATTTTTAGGGAGACTGCTGAAGGGTTGTGATTTAGGCCTCTGTTTTTTCCATCATTTTTTTGGGGGGTTTAAATTGATGGGTTGTGCTGGGTTTATGGAGGCACTTGTTGTTGACAAAGGGTTACATGACGGTTGCATTTTTTTTGTATGATATGTTGACAAATGGGTCCCTGAAATTTTGATGTTTATGTTTATTTTTTATTTAGTTTAATGCTATAGATGTTTTTTGTTTACATATTTTCTGTGTGATATATTCACATTAGGGAAATGCGTTTCCCAGATTTTGTTGAGTTTTGATTTGTTTGATGCATGGGTTTTCCTGAGAATGAATCAGTTGCTATTGTTGAAGGATTCATGCGCTACTTAGATTTTTCTGTATAATACGTCATTCAGGGAAATAAGTTCCTGGGATTTTGTTGTTTTCTGATATTTTTTGGCTGTGAT